TCTAGGGCCCCTTTCTACCAACCAGACACCTACAGCACATAGAAGCTTGATATCAATTGTAGGACAAATGCTTTGTGACTCAGAACATCATGACCCCTGCACAGGACAATCTTACGTGTATGGCAGAGATACCTAATGCTATGTAACTCAGACTTTTAAATCATGCTGTCAAAATTCAAGACAGGCATTTCAAAAACAACAACCACTGACTCCGAAGATCATTTTAGTAGGCACACCACTCCCCCTTGAGTTCAAGAGCTAAATATAACTTCAAATGCTAGCAACTAAGGTTGTTCCAGGATGATAGCTCTGGACCTAATGTTCAATAGGAATGAAATAATTCCTGGTATGAGAGGAAAGGGAAAAGGGTGTCACATAGGAAGGACTGGATTGTTACTGGACAGCCCATTTCCTGAACCGAGGCTTCTGTCAATTCTGCTGGGAGGAGCTATTCTCCAGAGCAGAAGGTTCAAGTGGCTTTGTCTCCCTTCTGATAAAAAGTGGCTGTGGCCTGAAGTAGGCAAGGCTGCAGTTGCTTTAGGAGTGTCCTTGTCCTCCTTTGGTTTGTGTCAGTGAGCATGCTCTTGAGACCAAAGCAAAGCACAGAATTTTGTCCTCAGTGATCAAAACTGCCTGCAGGGAGTCAGCAGGTGATGGCTGAATGACTGGGGACAAAGGAAAACACTGAAAAACAGTGTCTTTAGAGGAGATCACATACATCCTTTGATCGTGGATGGGAAGGGCAGTAGGCTTCTTCACCTTGTGGGCCCCAACCAATGTGTGCTTTTCAGCTTTACTGTGCAATCGTTAAGGGTTTGAACCATTTTTTAAGAACTTACATACTTCTGATTTCAGAATCAAGGGCTTTTGAGGTCTGTATGAAAAAATGTGTAACTTCTGGTAAACCTAGGAGAGACAGCAAGGTCCCAGCACCTTACTTACCCTCTCAGCCCCCATCTCTCTTTCCTGACAGCAGCTTTATGCAGACAGTGGCAAACATCACATTTTTGTGTGGCATCCACAAAGACTACTTCAGGAAAACAGTGGGATGTAAGGGCATTGCGAGTGAATTATCTCTGCTAACTGCCTGGTTGAGTATGATGGAGGAGTTCAGCCTGTGGGCTGTAATATCCCAAGATGGAATCCTGATTTCAGAATTGAGGACCTCATGAAAACATTCTTGTTCCTTCTATGAGATTGGATCTCCTTCCATGTGCATACCAAGGGAGAATCAGTTTTTCAGACAGTTTCGGGAAGGTGCTTTTCTATTTTGTCACCTGGATTTCACCCACTCCTGTGTCTGTTTCCCCATATCCCGGTTCTCCCTTAATGATTACTGCTCTTGTCCTGTGCTTGCTCTGTTGTGGCTTATAGGGAGTTAAGAGGTGGGATCTGTTTGTGGGAGGAGGCAGTGTCCTACAGGCAAAGACTGAGTATGCTGCCACTGCCCAATGCCATTTAGCTGTATCTCTAGTGAATGCTTTGTTGACATCAGAAACAAAAGGGATGCCTGTACCCAGCCTGTGTAGCACAGCTGTGCGCAGGCCCAGTCAGGCAGCAGGGCTGGGCTTCTGAAGTCTGACCGAGATCAGGTCTTGGAACCTGGAAGGCAGGACTCAGGTTAGGGATGAGAGGTGAGGCCACAGCAGTGCCTGGCTGCAGTCTGGTTAGCCATGCTCACAGCTCAGTGTGCCTCATGGCACTGAAAGGTTGGCACCCCAACACCAGTGAGTGCAGGTGATAAGAACTGATGCTGTTGCATGGAACATAAGTTGGTTTTAGTCTGAGTTCCCTGTTTTGAAAAATTGGGAAATTCCTCATGAATAATTGTAAGCTAGCAGAGAGCTGGGTTAGGATGCTAAGTCAAACATTCAGAATTGAGGAGCTCTACGTGTAAATTGTGACAACTGTTTTGTCTCCTGTGTGCCTGTTGGTTTTTTGTGTTTGGCCTTGGCCTTGGCCTCATTTGGCCTGCGAAGTGCTCATGTGGAAGAGGCACACTCAGGGTGAGTAGTGCAGCTGTGCTCTTGGCACCTCCTTTCTGTGATGCCTTTCACTACGTAGCTTCTATTTATCACAGAATCACAGAATGGTTAAGGTTGGAAGGGACCTTAAAGATCATCAGTTTACACCCTCCATGCTATGAGCAGGGACCCCTCCCACTACACCAGGCTGCACAAAGCCTCATCCAACCTAGCCTTAAACACCTCCAGGGAGGGGGGGTTCCAGTGCCTTACTAGCCTTATGGTGAAGAATTTCTTCCTGATGTCTAACCTAAATCTCCCCTCTTTCAGTTTAAAACCAGTACCTTTTGTCTTATCATTGCCTTCTCTGGGGAAAAGCCCCTCCCCAGCTTTCCTGTAGCCCCTTCAGGTACTGGAAGGCCACTATAAGATTGCCCCAGAGCCTTCCCTTCTCCAGGCTAAACAGCCCCAACTATCTCAGCCTGTCTTCATAGGAGACGTGCTCCAGCCCTTTGATCATCTTCATGGCCCTTCTTTGGGCCCTCTCCAACAGCTCCATGTCTCTCCTGTACTGAGGGCTCCAGAGCTGTACACAGAACTTCTGGTGGGGTCTCACCAGAGCAGAGTAGAGGGGCAGAATCTCCTCCACGGCCCTGCTGGCCACACTTCTTTTGATGCAGCCCAGGACACAATTGGCCCTCTGGGCTCCACTGCACACTGGTGGCTCATGTTGGGCTTCTCATCTACTACCACCCCCAGGTCCTTTATCTCAGGGTTCTTCTCAATCCATTCACTACCCAACCTGTATTTTTGTTTGGGATTGCCCCAACCCGGGTGCAGGACCTAGCACTTGGCCTGGTTGAACTTCATGCAGTTTGCATGAGCCCACTTCTCAAACCTGTCAAGGTCCCTCTGGATGGCATCCCTTCTCTCTAGGGTCTCCACTACTCCACACAGGTTGGTATCATCAAGTAAACTTGCTGAAGATACACTCAATCCCACTGTCCATGTCCCTAACAAAGATGTTGAACAGCACTGGTCTCAGTACTGGCCCCTGAGGAACTCCACTCATCACTTGCCTCCACTTGGACACTCAACCACTGACCACAACTCTCTGGGTGTGGACATCCAGCCAATTACTTCTCTACAGGGGTCCATCTGTAAAATCCATGTCTTGTCAGTTTGCAGACCGGGATGTCATGCTTAATTTTGTAATATTTTTTTGCATGGGTGTTCATAGGACTTTGCTATACAAAGACTTGGAGCTGTGTCTAGACTTCAGTGTATCATTTATCCATGTGGGTACAGTACACAGAACTAAAGATGTCCTTGTAAAAGCCTTGTAAAATTTTATTATTTCCTATTCTTATTTTATTAGTTTTTTTCTATATTCTCAGTCATAACATTCTTTTAAAACTACATAATATACTAGTCTTTTTCCTGTTTTTAGCACCCTCCTTGGTCTGTGGGTGAAGCAACATAATTGGAGGAACTTCAAAGCAAAAAGAAATGCAGGAAAACTTACTTGAACAGAAAATGAACTTGTAGTGTCTGTACATTTAATCCACATCTCAGCTTCTTACCAGTCTAAATAACCTTTTAGTGATTGTAGTTTTTGAGAAATAGACACTTACCCTTCTTCCCCACCTTTTGACACAAAAGGGATAATTTTTTACTAGAGCTGGAGGAACTGTGCCAGAAAAGGGCAGCACTGGGCAGGGCTTCCACCCAGGCAAATTATTTTCCCAGTGGTTTGCCCATGGGTTTGCACATAGGGGACAGCTTCTCTGAGGGATAAGAATTGACATGATAAAGGCAGGGCTGCTCAGAAGTGCCTGAACAGTAAAGCACACCTTGCTGCAGGTCATGTTATGGTCATCACCAAAGGGTCCACCCCAGTTCCATCCTGGCCCACTCACACAGTGGTGCTGTGTGCAGGAACAGAAGTTACACCTCCAGACCTGATTCCTGGCTTCCAACATGGACTTGCTTGTGGCTTTGGAAGGTAGCTGCAGGTGAAATGTATGAATGTGTGTGTAGAAGGGGTGGCAGACTCTCTGGAAGCATTGACTGGGGATCCTCAGAGGGGACTTGAGCTCTGGCGATGCCTTTATAGGCAGTAGCTGGTAGCTCTGGTTTACTTCTCAGTGTAGTCAAAGAGCAGACTGAGCCCTTGGTTTCTGTCTCCCATTCACAGCCAAGATCCCTCCCCTTGCTGCTCACTGTGGAGAGATGTGAGGAGGAAAGGATGCTGTTAAGCTGCACTTTGCTCCAGCACTTGGCACATCCTTTGCAATATCGGCTGTTATCTGAGCAGGGATGCTGCCTGCCTCCTAACAGATGCAGCAATTCCCTATTGCTCCCCTTGAAAGGAGCTGGAATCATAACCTAGAGAGTGAGCGAGTGATGCGGCTGCTGCACAGAGAGTGACTGAGAGGAAGAAAATTGGAGAGACTGGAATATGTGCCTGCCTCAGCAGCACTGCAGTGGTAAAGCCACTGCCTGACTACATGCAGGTCACAGTTCTCCATGCGTTGCTACAGAGAATCCAAAAGTCGGGATGAAATGCATCAGCCTCCTTTTCTACTGCTTCTCTGTTATCGTCATGTATTAATTGCTGAGAGTTATTTTGCTTCCTGTGGCTGACTGCCTACATCTCTTCTCGTACTGCAGGAAAGACAGTGAGGAGAGAGCACAGCACCAGCCGGGTGTCCTGTCCCACCAAGGAGGATTCTGCATGATGTGCCAACGCAGTCAGGGGCTGCTACAATGGTGCACAGAACCTCTGGAACAGCTGGATTTTGGATTATTAATGCTTTTTAAAGGTGTCCCAGACTCCATCTAGCAATTAGCTGGAGACATCAGCTGCCCTTTGGGGCTTGCTTACTGCTTTCTATTTTCCTCTCATTACTGGTTTCACACTCATCTGGGTCGACAGCATCTGAACTAAAGGAAGGGACTTTCCTGACCAGGAATTGGAGGGTGCTGTGTGGAAAGTGCAAGTGAGAGCTCGAGGGAACTGCAGTCTGACCAACCATGGCTCAAGCAGCTAAGCAGCTGAAGAAAATCAAAGATATTGAGGCTCAGGCTCTGCAGGAGCAGAAGGAGAAGGAAGAATCCAATCGCAAGCGCAGGAACCGTCGAAAGAAAAAGGTCAGTGGCACTGGGGCAAGCAGCCCTATATCCAGATACCTGTGCTCGTGGCAGTGAGTGCTGTTTGTGTTTTGGGGAATGGGGTAGAGATGACAGAGGGGCAGTCTGGTCCCTGAACAAATCTACATGCAGTCAGCACAACAAATAGTCTGCCGAACAGGACAACTTGGGGGCCAGGAACCTGCTGTTTGCCCTGCCAGCTTAGGGAGAGGGGATATAAAAAAAGCCTGGTGAAGGGAGAAAGGAAGTGAGGGGTTTGTCAAGGCAAATAAAGAGACTCACTCAGCCCAGTAACAGATTTGATCTCTAAGATAAAATTGCTAGCTTCTAGCTCCATACAGTTTCCCAGAGTTGCTCTGTGTTTGCAGAGCAGAAGGGCAAGAGACCCCCACCCCATTCTCTAGTGAAGGTGCAGTTTTGATGTCTTCTCCATGCCCTGCTTGATCTCTGCTAGAACACTGAAACCAGAGTACAGTGGGACCACTAGCAGAGAAAGCAGTTTTGTGTAGGGGACTGTTAGTTCTGCTGCTGCTTGGGGCAGACAGTATTTGTGAGTGGGACCCAGGTCAGCCCTAGCAGCAAAGGCAGCTTACTTGCTGGCAGCAGGTGAGGGGAGGGTCAAGAGCTTGCTGCCTTGTGTCCTTCCCTGTGCTGACACTGGCACGCAGGAGCCTTGAGTCTGCCCACTGTTCCAAGCCATAGCTCCTCTCTGGAAAATTATTACCAGTTTTTTCTTGCTGCCAGCTTCCTGCAGGAGCAGGCATATTGCTAAGATAGCTTTGCTGCCCCTTGAAGACCTCTTGAACTGAATGGTCTTGCCCTAGCAGGGTCTGAGGGTATATGTGCTATGCACCAATGCAGAAAGGCAGTGAGGAGAGAGGTGAAACGAAGGGTAATCAAGGATATATGCAAGAGGAGGTTGCAATATGGGGATATCTGAGGTGGGCTTCTCCTCTGCCTTTAGCAAAAGGCCTGGAGACTTCCATGTGCCCCTTCTGAGCAAGAGCCTTACAGCAGAGCTCTACTGCTTGGAGCACCTCATTAGCTGTGCCCTTAAGAGTCCTGAGAGAGGAGTCTTGAGATGCTAGTAACAGGCACTGCTAACCAGCCCTCAGACTTCTATTGTTCCTGCCACACTGCTGGGCTGCAGCTGGGTCAGCCTGTCCACTCTAGTTCTGGACACTGGAATTCCTAGAATTCATACCTGGTTCTTGTGAAGGCTCGCTCCATGAGTCTTTGAGAAAACCATCCTCTTCCTTTCTGGCACCCCCTCCCAGGAGCACAGTATACGTGTGTCTTGGTGATGGTTGAGAGATCCAAAAATACCTCCAAAGTGTCTGGACTTCCTCATGTGGAAGGTACTAGAGTGGGCACCTTCTCCCCAGCTCCTTGTGAGAGACCTGAGTCACACTGACTGCCAAGAGACACTCAGGGAAGCGAGTGAGCTGGAGAAGCACCAGACCCAGAGGGGTCTGCTGCCCTGAAATGGGATCCACCTTAAACAAGCCTTTTGTAGGACATTCTTTGGGATTCTCACAACATGGGGAGCACTGAGCAAGGTCTCCTTGAAGAAATCAGTAGGGCTTTGGCACGCCGAGGAGGAGCTGATCTCTACTGTCCCTTCCTGAAAGGTGACTTCAGGCAACACCCTGGCAGGGGAGGCCGGCCTACCTCAGCTCGGCGCCTGCCATCAGGGTGGGCAGGGCCCCTCTTCACCCTCCCGCTTCTCTGGGGACCAAAGCTGGCTGTCAGGACGTTTGCTTGCTCTTAATGCCAGGCCATCTGGCAGGGCAGCCCGGGAAGGGATCTGTGCCGGTAGAGAGCAGCAGGAGGCTGGGTGTGGGTGCCCGGCAGCAGCTCCTGTCAGCAGCCCGGAGCAGCTCCGGGCCCCCCGGCACCACTGGTTGGCAGAGGGGTCACCTGTGATCCAGGGAAGTGACAGTGTGACGTGAAGCAGTGGAGGAGGCCAGAAGAGGATGGCCCATGCAAGCTGACATGTGTCTTGGGGCATGAGAGCTTTGTAGACTTCAGCACTTCCAGCCGTCTTGGTGTGGTTGTGCGTGCCCTGTGAACTGCAGGTTTAATCCTGCAGGAACCTTGTGTCCTGTGATACTTGGAGACACTGAATTCTGTTTTTAATTCTGTGTTGCCCAAAAACCTTCTCCTTGGACCATTGTTATATTTGTTGCTTTTTAGCTTTCATGCCAATTTCTTGGATTTTGTATTAAGTGCATGTAATGAGGACCTGATTGACCTTGTACTGCCCATTTTGTGCTGCGTGTCTCTCATTTGTCTCTCAGCATAGGGACAGTCCAGGTGTATAACCTTGTCACTTCTTCAGTATTCCCTGCTCCCAAATTTGCAACTCAGATGATGAGAACTTATGTTTCATTTGACAGGAGCTGCATCAAGAATTTGGGGAATGGTAGCTGGTTACTCACCTGCTCCTCATGCAGCGTAGCCACACTTGTGTTTTGGGCTGAGCTGTGCATTAAACAGCCAGACAGGTCCTGAAGAGTGCTCCTGCTCTGTGGGCACTGCAGCATGGCTGGAGGTTGCCACAGCCTGAAGAGGACCCCAGGGAGGAAAGCTTTCCATAGTCCTGTCCATTCCCATGTTTAGTGCAAGTGCTGAATTGTGAGGAATTACGAGCTCTAGCAGAATGTGTTGGTGGCTTTTCAGGGTGCCCTTCTGACAGGCAGGTGTGACAGAGAAGCCTGTGAGCAAAGGAGGATGTGAAGTGAATAATAGAAGTTCACTGTCATTAGAGAATTTGCCAAGCATCATCTGGCATAGCTTCTTGCTATTCATGCCATAGTATCCTAGCTTCAAATCTCTGTGCATTTTGCTTAGACGGTAAGTTCACAGAGGACCAGAGCCACTTAGTTACAGCGGCTGGACTGCATGTGAAGTCTATGCTGTGGCCAGCTGCACTGGGAGCCAAGAGCTGACTGGTGGTAGCACTGTCTGGGCTTTGGATGCAGCTTTCTGTCTGTTTTTTGTGGTTCTGGGAGGTAGTGATGGTCAAGAATGCTTCCTTGCTTTCACTGCAGGTGCTATGGTCAGGCTACCTCGGGAGGCAGAAAGCCTTCACTTGGAAATCATGCAGAGCACTTAAAAGATACAGTCCTGCCTTCTGCAAGATTAGTAGGGAGCAGCACAACACATTGTGAGAATGTGATGTTTTGACACCATATGTGAGGAAGGTCTGTAAACTTGTTATGTGAACACATGGCTACCAAGGGTTTTTTTTTTAATTTGTACGTGGCTTCTTGTTGTGCTTATGTATTAAAGGTAGAAGATTGACCAAATTCCTTTCCAGGAATTCTGTAAGCATTAGTAGACCTGATCAAATGAGTTGTCAGAAAGGGCCCAAAATGCCTAACCCCCAAACTGGGCCTGGAGTGCTTGGCTCATCCTATGTTTCAGACGTATCTACAGGCAACTTGAAGCTGAACCAAGTGCCCTCGAGATTGCCAGTGCCTGCAGTGCCTGGCAATCTGGCAAGCTTTCACTAGGATTAATACATTTTTTAAAAAACCTACAAAACTTTAATGAAAATAATTCTTCCTATTTAAGTATGCTTATTCTGGTACCAAATTCAGCCAAGTATCTAGTCAAGCATGAAGAGGGGCAGAGACCTTCATCCTAGAAGTACAACAAGGCAGACACCAGCTGTTAGCTGGCAAGTGGGGAAGTGCTCCTTTGGAGCAGGAAGCTGGAACCTTTAAAACATCTATGACAAGAGTGCCATGCAACAAATATGACCAATAACACTTCAGTAAGAGCAGCACTGCTAATGGTGTCCAAAGAACTCAAATGCACATGTGAGAGCATGTGCAGTCTGTGCGCAGCATAACTGTGGCTACTGGATTAAATAACTATCTAACCAAATGCTCAGAAGGAAATTCCTATAATTGCTGTAAGTGTTTAAATGATAAATTATTATTGTGAAAGATGTGATACAGTACGGTCCTCTCAGTACACTCAGGGTAAGTTTTGCTGGGCCATCTAAATAATAAAGGACAAGGCTGCCTGAATTTACTACTTTTTCTTCATTTTTGGGGGGGATAATGAAGAGCAAACTCTTTCCATTCCTGCCTAGTTTCTTTGTCTTGCAAGTATCTAAGGTAAGACAGTCTCTTGTTACGGATTTGTAGAGCATTTCACACAATGCAGTCTTGAATGGTAAAAGAAAATTTTTCTTCTTAAAAAGCTTTCTGCATAAAACTCCTTGCCTTTTTTCTAGTTGTTTATCTTCTGGATACAGGTCACAGACTGGTTTGACTCTCTGTGGTATAGGCTGATACCCGTACTTGGTGCAGTGTTTCTTCTGCAAGCTGCAGCAGGAAATATTTTAGTTACTTCGTTGTTACATGCTGAAATAAATCCCAGCAGGAGAGGCTGCGAGGGTGCTTCAGAGAAGGGAGGGATTCGGCTTGTGAGAGAGAGTTTGAAATAAGTGGGAAAGAGAGAGAGGGGTGTTTTTGTTTGGCAGGAGCTGTGACAGAGAAAGGTCTTCCATCAGCTAGAATGAAATGGTGGGAAAGGGCAAAGGGAGCACAGAGGACTGAACAACCCCCTTGCGTTCTCAAGCACAGATAAGGAATAAATGTGAACATAATCAATTGCTATCAACTGTCAGAAGAAACTCTAAGCTGAGGTGTGTGAGGTGAGTTGGGAGAGGGGCTAGATCCTGGATGGGCACATCTCTGAGAAGATTGAGGCAACGTGGAGGATGTTAATGAGAATGCTTTTGCAGGGAAGAAATATTGCATGCTTAGGAAGGTAGGGAAATCTGGGGAGTAGAACAAGTCAAGCAGGATTTGGAACAGCCACAAGCTCAATCAGACAGAGGAGCAATTACAGATGATTCCTAAGTAGGACAATCGAACAGTCACACAGGGTGACCATGCTTGTGCTTGTTGTGTGACAAGCAGAAGAGCTCACTCACCTGCTGTTCACTGATGAGCTGGATCAGGGTGGAACTTCAATCCAAG